ATATATTGTGGTATAAAAATAACAAAAATGTATTATTTTACATCATTGAAGTCAGATTTTATGTTAAAATAAGAAATTCAAAAGAAAGAAGAAAATAATAGGAAGTGAGGAAGGGATCTCTGAACACATATCAGCCTAGTCACAATCAATGACTCGAATTGCACTTTTCGATAATTTTTAATTTTGCTTATTTTGTAAAACCATTAGCCTAACCTGGATGGAAGGTTATGATCTTTGCTACCAGACAGCTAGTTTTTCACTTTATTAGGTGTTTAGGTTTTGTACTTGACTAAGATATGTGTTGGCAAAGGTGATGGAAATTTATACTGACATTATGAGGATAAGTAAAATATCACCAGTAACCCCTGAAATACTTTTATGTGATTATAAAATATTTAAATTTTAAGACATATACACTTTGAAAAATTATGCCTTAATGTCATGTGCTACTTACTGTGATTTTTTATTATTCAAAAACCATGAAGTTTGGAAATATCAGTAAAGTCTTCAATTGAGATAAAAAAGATTTACTAAATTTATTTTAATTCTAAACAAAGTTTTCTTTCTTGAAACAGTTGGCACATGTTTGTCAGAAAAGCACTTAATTTTCAAGTGAAATGTTACTATATTTTCTTCAACTTAAATCTCAGGCTTCTAATATATTATATTAATAACTCTATATAATGTACCAAAACACCATCTGTACATAGATACATAAAATTATTGCATATGAAAATGATCAGTACTTCAAAATTAATTCATTGAAATCAGATACAACATCTTCCATAAGATTTACCTTACATTTTCTCTCTCAAATCCTTTGGGGAATAAGGTAAAAAATAATTTTTTAAAAAATGAAGTAACAAGTGAGTCACTCTTCTCTGATCAAGTCTGTTAATGCCTCACTTACTTTAATTTTCCTATCTTCTTTTGTAGGTAATGACCCATACGTTTGATTTAAATGTGATGTTTCTACATTGTATGGTAAACAATCTTATATTTAGAAAAAATTCAACCTGAATAGATAATAAATGATGATGTTTTGGCTTTAAAAAGATCCTTAAGTTTTAAAAAATTATCATATTTTTGTATGTTGTGATGTGTAAGGGCTTTTTTAAAGTTGATCAATAAAAGAAAATACTTATAGTATTACAGTAGTCCTATAATGTGAAATATGTTTTAAATTAATCCCAGAAAGCATAGCCTAAATTAAGAACATAGATTATTTTATAGTCACATATGAATTTAAATGAAGAGTGTGTCTTTGATTAAGTTGGGTTAAGTATCTGATCTTATAATTTTCTCATCTGTACAATGGGAATAATATCAACTACATAAGACTTTTATAGAAATTGAACAACATAATACTTTTTTTTACATAATACATTTTTTAAAGACTAGAGAAATTCCTGAAATATTGTAGTAGATACTCAAATTACTATTATGAATCAAACATTTGACTTTCCTAATATGAGCCTTGCCATTATGAGCATAATGGAAAGAGTAAAGAACAGAGTTGAAGCTTTATGGTTTATACCATATCATTGAGGAATATAGTTCAAAAATTAAATATGTAATATCTTATATGTCATATTGTACATATTGCCTTCATATGGTTATTTTCTAGTTCTTGGGGTTGGCTAACTTGGAGGTTCAATCACAAAGCAGGCTATTTGATCACCTTACTCAAATTAGGGTAAATTATAGTCACCCACACATAGTAATCTCTACATGTATTAAAATATATTTATCTGATAGGCATATTTTGAGTACATAATAATATCATTCCAAGTTTTACATAAAAGAAGACTAGATTTCATGTATATTTCTATATTCAGCTGCCTGTTTAGAAAAGAAATAACTCATCCTTGAAAGAAACTGAAGCCAAATCCCCATTTGATTCTTGTTTCTTAAACCCTCTGAATTGATGATGCTGGGGGTAGGGTGTTCCCTGTTCTAATCCATTTTTGGCTTTTGTCTTAATGGAAAAAAATTAAAAACCAATTTTTTTTTTGGATTACAGTAATGCTAAACTGACTCTTCAACAAAATTAAAGTGAGAAATCTATATCTTATATAGACAGTGCTTACTAAAATGTGTTGTTTAAATGAAATATGCACATTTTCCCAGGACACATCAAATTTCTCCAAAGTTGGTGTCTCTGTTCCTCTATTTAGTGTTATTCATATTGAATTTATGATCCTTACCATTGCTGATTTAGCATAAGAGTTTTAGTCATAATTCTGAACTGTTAGGATAAGATTCATATAATAATCATCTGTTTTCTTTAGTCATATTCCATAAAAAACGGCATGTCCACAAAGCATTCTTTCAAAAACTAGTTTATGAACTTGTCTTTGAGGAAAGCAGAAAACACGAATTCCAAATTTCATTTGTTGCAGGTATTATTCCATAATACAGATAATATATAGCACAAAGTTGATACCAGCCTATAATTACTGGTTTTGTTAGTTTTAGTAGGTAACTATGAGTACAAAATGATAATGCTTGGCAAAAATGCCCACTAAATATAGCCCAGTGATTTGCCTGAAATAAAACTCTAGTTTGTATGCCATCATTGGTCATACTCTCTATTTGCTCTCCTTAAGAGAAAAAGTAATGTTTTTTTTGTCCTAAGGACAACAGTAGTGGGTGGGTGTGTCTCCTCCAACCTATCTCTCCTGCCTCCCTCCTCCACAATTTTTCTGTCTATAGGTTACTTAAAGACATAGTTTGTGAGTCTATTCTGTATGAAATCAAATATTTTGCCTAATAAACATAAAAAGACTCTTCCAGGTGAAAAGTTTCAACGTTTTCCTTTCCAAGATCTATCTTCAAATTAAAGGTCTTGTAAATGCATGGCTTTGTTAATTCCTGCATTATTTTATTAGAGAGATTCTATTATCAAAATTTTTTGTTGCACTCATATTTTAAAAATGCAGATATGGTGGTGGGGTACATTATTTAGAGGAATGAGTTAGAATTTTTCATCTCTGACTTTTAATCTAGTCCAAGTGTTTGAAATCAAAGTTTGCTGGGTGGTGGCAACACACACCTAGTAATCACTTTTATTAGAGGAAGCTGAAGTTGAACGATTGCAAATTCCAGGCCAGCCTGGGGAATTTAGGGAGACTGTCTCAAAAAATGAACTCAAATAGAAGTTTTAAAGAATTATCAATTATTTTTCAGTATCTTAGAGAGAGAAAAGAAATGTTAACCCAAAACATTTTTGGATTTTCTAGACCACAGTATTATCTAACAGACCTCTAAGTCCTTAGGGGTGTGGAAAGGCATCTTGGAGAACTTGTTTCCCTTTAATGGTTTAGTCGTGTTTTTCCTCTACATAGTACAATTTAGAATCACTACTTTGCAAATTCAAATGGTTATCTTCAGCACATTAAGCCCCCCACCCCTTTACAACCAAATACTGTAGATCAAAAGTGTGCGGAAATTACTCAATGTTCATGAGAAGAACGGCTTACAGTTTTTGCAAGACTGATTTATTATACAATTTTTAAGCATGCTGGGGTTCCATAAGAACTCTCCTAACTGCCTGAATGTCGGTGACGATTTTTTAAAACACGCAGCATCACGCCTGTGATAGGGAGGGAAGAACAAAGTTAAGTGGCTGCACCAGAACCTTTTCAACCAGACAAAAGGCTCTTCCTTCAATGTCCTTAAACGTAGGGGATCTTTCCTAATATTTTCCAGTAGGGGGAACTAAAGACTCACCATCCAGCATTAGCTAGGCTCTGGGAACTGCGTGAGTTCCTGTAAACCGCCTTCTAATCATCGGACAAGCATCAAACAGATACCAGGAGCCTGTGATCACACGTGGGTCCGGCCACACCGGACGCACCGGGGCACCACAGACACTGGCATCCCTTTGATCAAACGTGGCCTCTCTTAATCATCACCGGTCCCGAATGACATTCACTCTGTAGATTTTGCCGTATTTTCGCGGTGTTATCGTCTCTGGGCAAAAATCCGGCTCTTTTAGAGCAGCTGGTGTTAGCTTAGTTAGGTTACCTAGATCTCCCAGATCAGAATCTGTGTTTACCAAATTTCCTTTCGGACTTGCCCTTCTCTGGAGTGTAAAGGCTTTGGATATCCCCAGCCTCCAAGCTCTTAGTTTCTCGCTTTCCCCATCTTCTGGTGAACTCCCTAGCGTCCCACGATCCCGCGTCAAACTCATCTTTGAGAGGTCATAAGGCAACTGAGTACTGTAAAAGGGGATGCCACCTCTTCCTTTGCCCCCAGCGCCTGGAATTCTTTAGGGCTATAGATCTTGGCTAAAAGGAGCTGGTAGAGGTTAAAGATTTCTCTCCCACGCCCCCCCCCACCCCCGTCTAGGTTTTTCCCCACTTCCTAGTGTCTTTCATAACCATGTAGGAAGTACCAGCACACCACCTTCCCACTCCAAAAGGTGGTTTTATTTCCTTCCTTTCTCCCTCCTGCTCAGCTTCTCATTTTGCTAAAAGGTGAAGAGTGAGTGTTTGTGTGATTTTTACGCGTAATGAGGCTGCGCCCTGGGTCCTAGAGGATGATCTTTTTTTTTTTTTTCAGAAAGCGTGTGCAGCTCCAGCAGACGGAGGGATGAATAATTAGGAAGGGCTTCCATGAAATCACTCACAGAGAAAATTACCTGCCCATTAAACGGGACGCGGCGAGGAGCAGGAGGCTAGAGCCCACCTATCGCCTCCCGAGGCGGGAAGGAGGGGGACGAGGAGGCGCAGAGAAGGGGAAGGAGTTGACCGGTGGCCCCGGTCCTTGGCAGCCAGCGGAGCTCCAAATTTGTTAATTTCCGTCCCCCTAGGGCTCTCGACTCTCCAGACCCCTCCACAGTCCCCGGCGGGCTGTTGCCCCGTGCACGAGGGGGTGGCGGAGTCTGGAGGTGGAGAGCTCAGTGCACCCCCTCATCCCCCCACCCCTCCCCGGGGCAGACTCCCAGCAGCTTCATTCCTCCCCTCCCCTCCCGCCTCCTCGCCTTCCCTCCTCTAAGTCCTTCCACCCGCGGCAGCTGCAGGAGGAGGCGAACGCTCTTCAGCTCCGCTGCGGGAGCAGCGGCAGTGGCAGCGGCTGGACCAGAGGGACAGGCGGCTGGACCGCGCCTGGCGGCTGGACTGTGCGCTCCTATTCTCTCCCGCTCCTGGGTCTTGGGCTCACTCGCCCAGTGCCGCTCTCGCCCTGTGCCGCTGGGTGCACAATCGCTCAGAGGCGGCACCGCCGGGTGGCCACAGCCTCAGCCCTGCCCCTCCCTCCCTCCCTTCAGCCTCACCACGTAGGAGTTCGGATTCTCCACCCGTTTTCTTTCCCTTTTCCTCTCTTTTGGAAACGAGAGGTGGAGGGCGGCAACAAGGCTGCTAAGGAGAGGCCCGCCTGCAAAGTGTTGCTTTGACACATCCTTATTATGGAAGTTAAGTGAAAAAAAAAACAAAAAACAAAAAACAAAATCCCAAAAAAACTCCGGGACGTGTTGCTGCTACGGAGAAGGAGATGGGGAAAGGAAACCAGTAGGCAGGCCAATGGTTTCTCGGCAGCTCTCTGGCAAGTTTGTGGAACACTTTCTAGGAATTAGGTCTTTTTCCTCCTCCTTCATCTTCTTGACTTCTGAAGAAAGAACTTGGCTTTGGATTGCAATGGAACCAAAGGAGAGAGGGTTAGACACACTTGAGTAATCTCTCCGGCTGGGGTAAATTTGTGGGAATTTAGGAATCAGAGTGTGGAAATACAGCAGCCTTTGAAGTGCCCTCCGTTAATTTGGATGGATCTAAGCGTGTCCCACTCAAGAACTGGACACCAACCCCTTGATCTTGTGATTTGCTCTTCTTGATTCTAAGTAGTATTTAGAAAAGTCTGAACTTTGGACCTACCTCTTTCTTTGATACTTATTTTTGTACTTTTGCTCTCTGGGATTGGTTTCTAAAACAATCTGGATCGTTTTTAATATGTCAAAATGAGTCTGCTGATGTTTACACAACTACTGCTCTGTGGATTTCTATATGTTCTGGTTGATGGTAAGTTAAAAACGCTTTTATCCTTTTTCGGTCGTCCCACTCCCAGCATTTCTTTCTGAGTCTGATGTGGGTTATACATAAAATGACATTATGTCTGCTGGTCAGTTTGGCCAGTCAGGAGTTCTTTAGGGGCAGAGGTTTTAGGTCTTTTGTTTCTATACTGCTGCAAGTGGAACAGGTTAATAGTACCTATTGTCGTTATTTTTGTAATTTACTTAATTAATTGAGAAATTGGATAACAAATGATGGGCTCTCAGCTTTGTTAGGAGAAGAAATATCAAAGTGAATATCCTGAAAGACCCTAATGCCTAATGTGCCTGCTCTCTGGTGTTTACCCTGATATCTAAACTTTGGTTTAGAAATTCAAGGGAGGAACTATTGTAACAGACACTCTGAGGCAGGTTCAATGGGTCAGGAATTTGAGATTGGATATCACAGGGATCAATGTGTATCACCTGCGTGCCAGTGAATGCTATCCTAGCATGAAATCAGAATGAAGAATTTAGACCACAGAGAGAAAACTGTCAAAAGTGAGACTGGGCGAGGCTCCAGCAAGGGGCAGATGCAGGCATGGAGCACTCAGCTCAGTCCCCAGAGGGCAAACACAATGGGGACCTGAAACAGGTGCTATAGGTGTCTCCCTCTAGGTTGAGTCAGTCTGTCAAGCAGATAGCATTCTGCCTCTGATTCTCCTGTCTTTTGTTCTGATTCTGTTTCATGGGCTATTTTCATAGAATGTCAGTATTTTGTGAGACTATTACAAAACCTTTTTTGTAGCTGTTTTTAATGAACTGTGGAGATAATAATAAGGAAATCTTTTTCTTCAATAGAAGAAAGTCAAACAGATATTTGGTATTAGCCTTCTGTGGACTTTAAATTTATTTTATCAATGGAAAATATTGATAAGAACACCCCTCCCCTCTGGAAATAGGGATTGTAATACTTTTGTTTTCAGTTATGAATTTGTAAGAATTTGAGCTGCATTAGTCCAAATATTGGAGTCATCAAAATAATGTGTTGTCACATAAACTTTCCTTTAGCATTTGCATTGTGGATAAATTCATTATTTGGGACACTGCCCATTTTTATCCATCTGTGGGAGCTAACTTTATTCCTGGCAGTTGCTGCATGGTATCTAATGTATTGGACTGAGAAAGGAAGCCTTTCTATAAACATGAGGCAATACAGATGAGTTTACCTACTGTCAAGTGGCTGTATTCAATCATGGACTACATGAGTACCTATGCCCCCCAGCAACAGTAGGCAAGGGATGCATGTGTGCAGGCTGCTTCTTTTTCCCTCCTAAGTGATCATTGTGAATTATACTGGGGCAATATCTATAATCATATGTATAATCATTCTCCATACATTTTCTTTTCTAACACTTTTACCTCTACAATATATTTACATTACCATAATATAAAGATTTACATATTTATCCCGAGTGTATTTGATCATGATAAGACTTTGGTATAGCCATTAAAATAGTATGTCCTCATAAGCCACAATTTTACATACTTCAGCAACAGAAAGGCATGCACAAACTATGTATTAGACTACAGAATTATCACCAAGTTTTTTTAAATCAAGTGTGTCTCTAGAAGGAATACAATTAAATTGCTCAGTGGAGGTGACAGAGGGAATCAGAAGAGCTCAGTGTTACAGAATGTAATTAATGTACCCGGGTGTTTGGAGGTATATGAAACAAATGCAATTAACCAGCTTGCTAGAACAGCAGTAGCAAGACATCATTTCTTTCTTTCTCTCCCTCCCTCCTCCTTTCTTTCCTCCCTCCTTTCATTCTTCTCTTGCTCCTTCCTTCCCTTCTTCCCTCCCTTATAACCCTCCCTCCCTTCTTTCCTTACTTCTTTCCCATACTCCTCCCACTTCCTGCTCCAAAGACACACCTAGAACCTTTGTTCTGATTTAACATTATAGGATCAGGGGTCATAATTTGTCTGGGCCATAATTATACAGCAGAATTCATAGTACATTGTGGAAAATACCCAGGGGTAGAATAGTTTAGACTGAAGAGGCAATGTTATTTTTTTTTCTCATGTGAAACTAGTTTTGTATGTAGCATCTGCTATGTTGAAATCAAAGGAAACTGTGGACACTTTTATTGAATTAGTATGTAAATCATATGTTTGACATTGGATTGCCTTTGGATACTTCAGAATGATGACAGCTTCTCCATGGGGATTGTTGAAATTTGGGATGTGGACAACACTGCCCTCTAGGCTGTTTGGATACCTTGGGACTCAGTGTTCACATATATAATGAGGAAGCTGGTTTGTAGGATCTGTAAGCTTTGTTACTTTCCCAGGATGCTGTGATGTCTATTTACTTATTATCCTTCTTGGAGGTGTGTGCTTATTCTCCACATGAATTTCAAATTCCAAGAAGCTTGTACCATTTCAAAGATATACTGACTATCCTTGTGCTAGACACAGAAATTAATTTTATTCAGTGACAAATGATACATAGATTTGCATTGAAATTTGCTTGGTGGGTTATTTATATGTGCATTTTTATAGTGTTTGAAAAAAATGTTAAGAGTTTTGCCTCCTTATATAAGATATGTGCTAATATTATTTATGATTTTTTAGAATCCTGTCCCTGTAGCAATCCATAGGGAATAAATATTATGTTAGTTGAGAATATTAGTTGAGAACAGCAGAAAAACTTTTCTGCTTTGTATGTAAAGAAAAATTTTTTTCATTTGGTACAGATTAATTAACCACATTCAGATTTTTCTCTATATAGGAGAATACATATTGGGTTTAGAGTTGTTTTCTATATTTTCTTTGTTTTTAACTAATAATGGAGTTTTTCAATCATTTATAATAAAGCAATTTTAACTGTCAGACTTTATATTATCATCATGAATGCATACCTTGATCTGTTGATCTAATAGTTTTAAAATATTTGTGAAAAAAGTGTTTTTAAAATGAGAATGGATTTCTCATCTTTACTCCTTTCTTTAAAATGGAAATGGCACATGTGATATTTGGGGAGATAAAGATAATGCGTGTGCATAGTGCAGATGTATAATCTCAAATAGGTTTATACAGTTTGCTAAAGTGCTCCTTTCAGTAATGGGCTCATTATTGTGGCCATATGTAGCCAATTTCAAAACTTAAATGGCATATAAGTAACCTGTAATGTGTTCTTGCAGCTATGCAGTAATGTCATGTTTGAATTGGCTTTGTTTGAATAACCTTTGATGCTATGCAACATGTGGACCATAAACCAAAAGGATTTCTTAGAACATTAAACAAGGATATCTAAAAGAACATTAAAAGTCATGGTTATACAGAAGGGACAGTTCTGATCATCTCATCTCTGAGCAGCTTGTACAAAATTGTATCTTTGATAATAAAAATATGGATATGTGAGCACATTGCATAAATGTGGATACATATATAGTGATGAAAGAAGCTTGTGTGTGTGTGTGTGTGTGTTTGTGTCTAGTTCTATCTGCTTAAGAAACCTAATCTGTTAGACATTCATTTACTTCCAATGTGCATTTTGGTCTCTGACAAGTATTAAGAGAGAATTTTCATCTTATTTCTTTCCCTTTTCTTCTTTTTCTCATCCTCCTTTTCCTTCCTTCTCCTCATTTTTCTGGTTCTTTTCCTCTTTCTCCTTTTTTGAATCTTGAGAAAGGAATTAGAGAAACATTTGAAGAATATAAGTGAGAGTATTTCTTGAATAATACTTAATAATAATAGAAATAATAATAATAGAAAACTTGCAGTTAAGGGCAATATATTAATTATGTTTTAACTTTAGGTTAGGTGTATCCAATTAGGGTTTTGGCTTCCTTGCTTTTCTGCCTTAGTCTGACTGGGCACAAGTCATGAGCCACTCAAGCAGGAACAAACTTTATTTCCGAACTCCACCAGCACACTCCACACACGCTCCCTGGGAAATCTCCTGAACGCCACCCACGCGGCTCCTCCAGGAACACACCACCCACCAACCGGAACTCCCCCCACCAGGCTGCATGCACACCCACTTTCCGAATCCCGCGAGAACTCCAGGGGAACTCCAAAGTAGTGGGCACCCAGGCAGCAAGAGCTGCCCTATACCGGACAGTAAAGGTCTAATATACAAAATTGAATCAATCCAGCATCATCTTAATGGCTTGCTTCTCAACCATTACTTCTGGCAAAATGCCAGGGACCATTCTGACTTGGCTGTGGCTCTCAACACTTTTCTTTAAAGATACTAAGTTTATTCAACCTTGTTTTTTATAGACCTTATATTTTTCTAGTTTAGATAAACAAAAGTCTTCATATCTGAGTTTGAGTAGAAATAGAAACTTTATAGAGTACCATTTCACAGATTTTGCTTAAAGAAAATAATTTTTCTTTCTTAATTGTGTATCTAGATATAGGCCTATCAACATAAATCAGTACATTAATATGAATATTTATTTTAATCTCCTTTTGAAAAATTATTGAATAAAGAATGAATTGGGGCTGGGGTTGTGGCTCAGCGGTAGAGCACTTGCCTAGCACATGTGAGGCCCTGGGTTGGATCCTCAGCACCACATAAAAATAAATAAAATTAAAAAAATTAAAAGAATGAATGGGTGACTGTAGTCTTTTTTAATGTTTTTTAAATTTGTTTTAATTAGTTATACATAACAGTAAAATGCAGTTTGGTACAGCATATGATTTCTCATTCTTTAGGGTTATACACAATGTAGAAATGATTCTAGTCTTTTAAGGAGAAATTTCTAAAAACTCTTTCAATGTTTAGCAAGGTGTTTATCATTACCATAATAGTCATGTAATATGCCATCTAATGAGTGGCATGCTCACCCAAAATACCTGTCCCTAACTGAAAACAGCATTGAAGTAACTTGGGCCTCAACTTTCTTCTTCATGTTCTTTGCTGACTCATGTCCTTAGCATTTATTCTTTACTCTATTGGAAATGCTCTTACCTGGATCTTTGTATTGGTTAGTGAGTCTTTCAATTGATTTATTT